AATAATAATAATAATAATAATAATAATAGTAATAATAATATTATTATTATTATTATTGAAGACAAAACTCCGGAACGAAACATTTGTAGATTTAGTCAAATTTACTCGGCACGGGTGGATTAATTACATATAACGAATTTTCTGTTATTTTTTTGGTACAAAGAAGGAGAATTTTCTATTATTTTTATTATTTTGTTATGCATAATAATTATATTATAATTACCTCTCTTATATATAATTTTTGATTGTATTGAGCCTAAGTGGCAGACTGATATGTTTCGAGATCCTATTTGTTATACTTATATGCTTTGGAATAATACATAATTAGGTTTGAGTGTCATGTCAAACTTACAATATTAGACATGGTTATTTGCATAATACATTAAATACTTTTCAAACAATCACTATTTATTTCATTTCTTATTTTTAATTCTTCCATAGTTACTATAATACTTTTCTTTTAATTTTATTTTTTTCATTACATATATTTACTTAAATGAATCATATTAATTTATTTCTCAAATTTTGTCTCCAATATTCAAATATTACTCATTTCAAAGATGAAGTAATATGATATTATTCTCTTAAAAATGATTTTTGCTTAAAATTTAATTGATATGTTGACAATATAATAAAATAAATAATTAATTGTCCATATTCTAAAATTACATATAAAGTTTAATATATATATATATAGTTTAACAATTTAATTAAAATACAAATTATTTTAGTTTTAAAAAATAAAATAAGAAGCATTAACCACTACAAAAAAATTATTATATCCCAACGGAAAATCCAATGTTAATATATTCCAATGAAAATTCCAACGGATATTCCAATGGTATAGTTTCCGTTGGAATGGTTGCAACGGAAATTCCAATGGAAATATTCCGTTGGAATGTGTGTTTTTTATTGAAAATTTAGATGGAATTTGGTGATTTCAACGACTGTATTTCCAACGGCTTTTTACCGTAGGAATTTCCGTTGGAATTTTTATTTCCACCCCCGTTGGAAAATCCACCGTTGGAATCGCCAAAATTCAACGGAAATTCCAATGGAAAACTTATTCCAACGGAATATTTCTGTTGGAATTTCCGTTGGAACGGAAATAATAGTATTGAAATATCCGTTGGAATTGCCGTTGGAATCACTCTATTATAATAAATTTCCGTTGAAATTTTTATCATTTTCTTCTAATGAACACTTTTTAATACGTTTCTTAATTCAAAATCCATGTATATAAATACACGGTATTCTACTAGTTATTTTTATTCAAGACAAAGATTGGATCCAACATTAATTTGTAGATATCCGGTTAAATTAAAAATTTTGTCATTATGAAATATCAATTTTTTTTATATATATATATATTTTTTTATTTGCGATTTATCACTTGCTTAGTTTTAGATATCAGTTATTATTTATTTATTTTTTCCTAAATTTAAAAATAAAAAAAAAGTAATAAAAGTACATAAAACACATCACTTTTTCTGCCTTTTCAAGAAAACATATTGTGGTGTTATTTTTGACTGGTCTGTTTCGTACACGAAAATATTGGACATGACTTTGACCGTAAAAACTCATACCTTAATTAAGACCCGTGACATTGATAATGATCAATAATTATTCTCTTTAGATTTAAT